CTGATGAGTCAATTAATGACACGCCAGCACAAATCAGCGCGACTTATTCTTCAGAAGGACGTGCATCCCAATGCATTGCATGGATATGGATACAATTCTTGTAATGAATACAAAAATAAAGTGAGGTAAAGCAGCTTTAATAAAAGTGAATGGGAGACAGAGCAAGAAGAAGAAAAGAACGTAATTATTCATTAATAAAGCAGTTTGTGAAGAGCTTACGGTTTGTGAAGCAAAATGGAAACTTTTTAATGAAGATTTACTCCACTAAATTGCTTCTTCATCACACTAAAGTTGGACATTTCAGACTTCTTTTCTCATAATGCTAAATATAGAGATTACATATTGCTTCTTTATATGCTAGAGTGAGATATTTTATTTTATTTAGTATATGCAAACTATGAACTTATCCTGTGAGGTGTGCTACTCATTCCTACTTGTGATATTGTGAAATTTCCCCACTGTAAGACAAACAAAGATTCTCCTAATCTTAATCGTAAATAAACACATATTCTTATGAGGTGATTAAAGCATAATTTAGGGAGACATTACAGTATAGAGCAGTGTTGGACAAAGTTTTTTTTCTATCTTTCTTCTCTCTTGTGACGTCTCCTGTATGTAGTGAGATTATGGTCTGACCTGTCATTAACACTTTCAAGCTCAAAGTTATTGCTCACTCAAAGCCCTTTACATTGGGGAATCACTCAGCCATCCATACATAACGTATGCAGCTGCTTCACAGATCAAAGCAGTAGTACCACATGTGTGCGTTTTACTGACAGAATATTATGTTTTGACCAAAGTGTGAAAGATTGACATTTTTGGCAATGCATTTATCTCTCCTTTTCATTCAGCTCTACTTATCCACTGTATGTGTTATACATTTGCACCTTTGCACACAGGATGCGTCATTGCTCTCTCGGGAGCAGCTGCTGCAGTTCAGTGCCTCACAATATGATTCAATTTGTGCAGAAGTCCGTAACACAATAGCATTTCCTGTTTTACCTTCACAGTGTATTATATATATAACATTGGACTGGTATATTCGGGAGCAGAGGCAGGAAAACTTGTATGATGGTAAATTATATAATGTCTTTGGGACTTTGTGGTTATAGCAGGTAGGAGGGTTGTTCAAGGGTGAAATAGACATACAAGTGGTGTTTTCCGTTTTGGGACTAGAATAACACTGCAGGATAAAGTAATTGTCCTTATACCTCTGACTACCACAAAGTACATTTCAGGCAATAATCAATACAAACATCTCTTAATATCCTTAATACTGCCGAATTAATAATGTTATATATTTTAATGATTTCTTTACACAATTTGGACAAAATACAGTGTGTGCTGTTGCTGTCAGTTTTAATGGAAGAAATCAAACACCGCTTGCCAAATGTCTATTTATATTTCCTTTTTTAAAGATTTGTCTGGAGTAAAAAAAAAATCTGGGTTTGTAACTTACTGTATAATAACTATCCTGGGTAAATAAATGTCTGTAAAAATGTACACATAGAAACATATTCATAATAAATTCAATAATCTCACAGCAAAAAATATGTTTATTTAGTTATTAGATTGCACTTATAAATATCTTTTTACACATCTGAAATATCTCTGATGATATTGTGTTTGTATAACATTGTGGGCAGTACTCTTTTGTTCAGGAAAAGCAAAACCCAAACAAGAGAATCAACATAAGGAACCAAATGATACCATTATTTTGGAAATGGAATGTTTTCTTTTAGCTCTAACAGAACAGGTGCACCATACAACACAAAAGCGTTAGATGTTGTTTTCCATTATTTTTGAGGTAGGCACAAGTTCACGCTCAACAACAGAGAACAAATCTGCAGAATAAAACAGACCATAAAGAGTGTGCGTGGAACAAAGAGCTTCAAACTTATCGGTATAAGTAACATGTATGTACAGCAAAGACGATAAACATGCAATCACCGCTAATAATATGCACATTTAGCTAATGCACTCATGTTCATTGATGCTATGTGTGGGTTAATTATCTCCTGATATATCCTGAAACAGCCTCTGCATGCAATACAGGTCTACAGAAAGCACGCTTGGAAAGTACGCTTGGAAAGAGCTAAAAAGCGAGCCGAAATCAAACCGTTTTAGTCACACGTTTTGGTAAGAAAATGACAGTAAAACGCAGCTGAGTGACATCTACTGAGAAATATAATGCAGCATGTGAGATGTCTCTTCTTAAGTCTTCTTGGTCTAGGAATTTATACATTCAAATCATTTTAAGTACCAGCTGATTGCTCCGGACTCCAACAAAAGAAAAGTCATAGTGCAAGCTGTGATTAAGGCTTTTTTTGTTCGATAGAGGATGTTCGGATTGTCTGAAGAGAGCAATTTTCTATAACTTATTCACACGCCATCATTTTCTGTTACATGTCTGGACTGCAGAAGCTCTTATGATCGGTATTTTTATGTCTATGGAAAGAGATTTAAGCAATTTGTCGTTTTACAATAAACAATGGCATAAAGCCTTTACAAATTATACATTCAACACATTTGGATGCAGAAAGTATCAAAAGCAGGCCAGCCTAAGAGCAAAGCATCACCATCAATATGTTGGAGAAACGAGTAGATGGCATCAGACTTTTGGCATCAGGCATCAGTTGTTATTTTTGAAAAATAACAACTCAATGACAAAATGTAAACTTTTGTTCAAAGAAAAAAGCAATAAAAGAAAATTATTAAAGTGCATTTTTGCAAGTAAAATATGTTATGTGTCAGGTAATAATATTTTTGTATGTGTGATTAGTATTGGCCCTTTGTCACTGTAGTTGCTATGGAGACGTTTTGGTGAATTTCAGTTACATTCAGAGAAAGTTGGCAAGTAATTAAAGTGACAGTATGTAATAGGCACAATTAAAGTTCTAATAAAGTAATTTGAATAAAAATCCAGCTTTTGTTGCCGGAATCTGTATGACACAAGTAGCTCCAAAGCACTGATGACTGATTCTAGAAATGTTACTAATGTGTGTATCTGCTTTCATCAATGAGAAGTGCCATTCTTTGTATGAGAATGTTATCATTAAAAAATAATAAGAGCCAAAACCAGATATATTTCACCAACAAACAAACTGGCAACCTGATCAGACAATCTTCTTGGACGTCTTATGGGCATCATCACTCTTATTTTACTTATGAATCATGACACGTTATACTTTTGTTCATAAAAGATCATATATGATTTGTACACATTGACCAATTATTTGGCGTCACAGATATGTACATGTAATTCAGAATGAAAATAGTACATATTGTAGCCTCCTGTATTTACACTGGTATCTGTACTTTCCTTGATGGAACCCAAATATCTGTTCATTTTACTATATGTTAAAATTGGTTTGTTACTTTGAGGACCTTTGCAGATGACAACATGCATGAACCTCATTGTTTGTCTCTGACCACATGGACAAACACAGGTCAGAAGTGATCAGCCATGCTTCTAAGTTCAGTGATAGCTGTAATAATAAAAATAATGATAATAATGCATTGGTTTTATAAAGCGCTTTTCAGTACACTTAAAAACACTTCGTCATTATTCTTTCCCTCCACACACAGTGATGGTAAACTGCTACTCTAGCCACAGCTGCCCTGGGTCACACTGACAGAAACCCCACTGAGCACCACCAGCCATTCACACACACTCCAGACTCATTTTAGGCAATATGGGTGAAGTTTCTTGCCTAATGACACAACAACAGTTTGGCACTTTACAGCTGCAGCTGCCTAACTGTGGCACCTGGTGTTCTCCGAGGTCTCCCATCACAGTACTATCCAGGCCCTGCCCTTCATGGCTTCAGAGGTCTGGCAGGATCTGGCTTTTGCATGCAAGTATACTGCTTCTACATGTTTGGTTCATTGTTATATTTGGTGCCTGTATAAAAAGCTTCCACAGCGGAAATTCGTTTGGGAAGAAGGAGGTCAGTTGTTCTCTAAATGATGAATTACTGAAACGGTCAGTTAAACAGGTAAACACGACAGATTTGGCTCCTTCTTATAAGCAGGACTATAAGTGGATGAATCTTGTACTGAAATGTATAAAGCCTTTTATAGTCCGCTTCTTCAAAATGAAAAGGATTCTGGGGTCGGAGTCAAAATGTCTCAATTTCAAACACAATGTGCAGATGACTCCACTGAAACCTTCTCTTCAGGTAATTACCATTTTGACTGCATCGTCTGCACAGCCTCCCGTCCATCACTGTAATCCAAGCGAGTGCGTAGGTGTGTGCGTGTGTGTTCGTGTGTGTGTGTGTGTGTGTGTGGGTGGGTACATGAAATACGTCGCTGTGTTTGATGTCGGAGGGCTGAATGATTGGTAGTTTAGGGTGGGTGTGAAGGAACAGATATAATTGTCAATGTAAAGCAATCTACGCACAATTAGCAATCTAATTGTGCACTACACAATTTTCCAGAAGGTTCCATTTTGTGCATGGATTCATATTATTCCACTGAAATTTCTATGTATTGTTGTATAGGATGGATTTTTTTGTTTTCCGGCAAGTAACAAGGCTGAGTCATATCTGTGGTGATGTAAAGAGCCAACCCAATGTAAGAACACATGTTTTTGAGCTGTAAAAACATCAGTAATTCTATAATGTACAATAACTATACCATACTGAAATACATATTAGTATATTTCAAGCAAAGCAACAACATCTCCATGACAACACGTGGGTAGCAGCCTCTGTCAAGTTGCGCAGGGCACTTGATTGACAAACCAGGAAGTAAAATCTTCAAAATAGTACAAAGAAAGTCTACCTGGTTTCAGTGAAATGAGTAGTCCAACATGTCATATGCACGTAACTACCAATCGCCGCAGCGGTTTGGTTTGCAGCAATTTTCTGTTGCTACGTCATCTTAGCACGAAATTGATGCTTGTCAACATGAGTCATTTTTTTCAACAATAAATACACAACACAATGTAAACAGCACACTTGAGAGCATTTTTTCACGCGCTCGGTCCTCATCGATCAGGTGGGCCTCTGAAAGGGCATGTTGAGCGTCACGGTTGGTTCCCGAGGCTGCGGTCGCGGCCTGTTTACCATCTCGCACTCGTTTTGCCGCTCCTCGTGCATTTGGGACACCTCTGTGGACCCGGCCTCAAACCCGGGCACCGTGTTGGCCACGTGGACAACATGCACCTTATTCCGGCCGTTCTTACTCAAGATGCAGCTGAAGACTTTCTTGAACCCTTTGCGGAAATGCTTGGAGACCAGAGCATAGACGATGGGGTTGACGCATGAGTTAGCGTACGCCATGCAGTGAGACAGCAGCCGGAACGCGTACGTGATCTGGTTGAAGGGGAAGTCTCCGTAGAGATAGCACAAGATGACAACGTGGTATGGCAGCCAGCAAATGCAGAAAAGAACAGTTACAATGATGATCATTTTAGTCACTTTACGCTTGGCTCGTTTGGACTCGGACATTCCATCTAGAGGGTCCACCGCAGTCCAAAGGTACTTGATGGTTCTGGTGTAGGACATGCTCACGATAAGCACGGGAATCACGTAGCCGAACACGAAGGTGCAAGTGTCCAAGACTTTTCGGTTCTGCTCCTCCCAGCCCGGGATGCACACCGTACTGTTGTCAAAGTCGATGAGGTCGTAGTAGCTCAGATAGGGGCCGGCGAAGACCAGCGACAGGCCCCAGATGATCACCATGGCCACCACAGCATTACGGGGCGTGCGGAGTTCCCGTGATCGTAGCGGGTAACGGATGGCCAGGTATCTGTAACAGCACACAGATTTGGAAATTTAAAAAAATATCAATTATAACTTGCAAATGACTTGCAAATTTTAAGTTAAAAAGAAAAATATGTCATGCTATTTTTCCAGACATCCAAGGATGCTTCACATGGCACAACTCATTGACGCCATGCTACTACTACTCTAAGTAAGTAAGTAATCTTTATTTATATATATTGGGCCTTTCACAGACCACTGCATTGTGGGTCTTTGTCTCTCACTCCACACAGATGGGAGCAAGGTCGCCAGTGCAGGAGGCGTATGCCAGACATATTGTACATGTTTTTAGTGATAGGGGAAACTGGAGCACCCAGAGGAAACCGGAGCGCCAGGAGGAAACCTATGCAGACACGGGGAGAACATGTAAACTCCACACAGAAAGGCCCTTTATGGAGGAGGTATCGAACCCAGGACACTCTTGCTGTGAAGCACAGCTGCCCTGGGGTGGACTGACAGAATCTAAACAGATAATCTGTAAAACCAGCACCAATCGGGTACATACACTTGGTAATGTGGGTCAAGTGTCTTGCCCAAGTACACAGCAACAGTTTGTCACTTTACAGCCTAAGCCGCCCCACTGTGGCACCTGTTTCCTGTTGAACAAGGCATATTGTTACCTTGTACAACACGGTAACAATATGCTTGTTGAATATTATTACATTGAAATGGTCCAACAGGAAATTATACTGCTTTTGGGTTCAATTTGAAATAGTGAAAACAAGAAAAGCACCTTCTCCATGTGGATTGTAGTGATTACAAACATAACGTATTCTTCAAAGACGGCACACAAATAAAAATGTTCTGAAACACCTTTTCCTTACATCATTCCGGCCCCATTAAGCTTGTGAGACCTTTTTCAGTCGCTCAAGGTTTCCAAACAAATAAGTCTCTTTGCACATGTTCATATATAGTGTACTTTGAAAAGGCTTTGAACAAATATATCTGTGTGTGTGTGTGTGATTATGTCAATTCTTTTTTTTTTGAAAACTAATTGGGCCAAAAACATGATTCATTTTTTTTATATGACTTTTTGTCTACAAGCTTTTATAACATTTTTAGTCTTGTCTCATTCATCTCACTGCTTCTATAAGTAATCAAATTGTCTGGTCCAAAATCAACACTGATACTATGTCAAATTAGTAAATTAGGTATAAATCCTTGCAATTCTTAAGCTGTTTTATTTGTTTGTTTATTGCATTTTGAGTAGGATGCTTTCTGGGTACTATTTCTAGTTGAGAGGGGCCAGAGTCTGTTTTACCAAGAGGAAGAGTTTGTGGAGAGGGAAGTCTTGGCTTTGACTACTTCCCGCGCCATACGGTAACGAATAAAATGGGTTTGCATCAAAGAAGTTGCTTTGTTAATAATACAAAGCAACCTGAGCTTGTCAAATCCAATATTCTGTTAACATGAACATTGAGTGGAAATACATTTTACAGTTTGCAAGCTGCTGAGCATCTAATTAACACAATGTTTGAATGATTTTCAGCTGTTGTTGTGGGTAAGGCCTGAGGAACATTAAGGACGTCTTCATACTTGTTGGTCAAGTGGACTTGTTTCACAATAGTTCTTGTGACGTCACTGTTTCAAAAATATGAAAAGACTTTAGTACACATACTGTAGCTCAACAAATTAATCAATCATTTTAAGAATATGTAAGATTTTCATGTCAAGTCATCATTAAATGGCCCTAATACTGTATGTCAAAATGCATTGATAAACCATGCTCTTTTACAATACTTCTTTAGCTGATAACAGTAGTTCAGCCGAGATACGCAAATTTCAAAATTAGTTTTACAGCCTCTAAATCTTGTTATTGTTTTCATTTCAATGTCCCGCCCTCCACCCTTTTACCAATCAGAAACTTTGTGATCCAGGTTACCAGAACTCACAGCATCGAGCTAATCTCACTGGTAAAGTAACATGTGGCTGCAGGTCTCGTTAGGATTCTCAAATCATTAACGACAAAACAAGGAATTAAACAAGGATTTCTATTGGGGATGCTTTGTGAAAAAGGTGATGGTTATGGATTTGTTGTTGACAAAACTCTTGTCTATTCAGATATTATGGTCCCAGCTGGATTCGTCTGCATATCTGGCAACCTGAGTCAGGGAGAGTGGGAGAGATTGCAGTACCACTTTTGGCCAGATTGTTACATACTGCTCCTTTAATGATGTGTCCAATTGTTTTATGGAAAGAGCATTTAAATCCTTACTGGTCTGCCCTCGATAAATTGGATCTAGGCAGGCAGATAACCAGAACAATGACCACACTGGTGTCCTCTTTTCCAGGCTTTATTCATTGAGAGAGTGGTAAAACTGCAACAAATGAAAGAAAAACAGCCTCAAGTTGTGCATTCAAACAACACAATACAAACATGCAACACTGTCAAGGTGCCGCTGAACAAATACAAGGCCAACACTAATGCTAGCGTCAGCACATTAGCGGCGCTAGCATACGGCACAAGCGTTCGGCGCCAATTAAACATAATCCCGGAATAAACAAACTCGGGAAAATATAACATGCAAAAAAACAAACTTAGAGGCTGTGCTGGCTCAAACACATCAATGTTTTCTACAACTGGAGCTGAACCATGTTTGCGAGGTGGAATTAACGTTGACCGTTTTGCTACTTCCGGTTAGTCAGTAAGTCACTCCAAGTTCGCCAAAACAAAACTATTTATATATACAGAATATATCATTTGGCTCATAAGGAGCCAGAACACTTAAGACAGAATATAGATCATGAATTGCAAGCATACATCCATTGTTATTTCTTATCAATATTATTTAGGTATTAAAATATTCTATACATTCCCGTGTTTTTAATCTCCTTTTGGTTATCTTGTGACACGTATCATTGTTTTTTTAATTGTCAGAAATCACACATTGTATTTTTTATGTAACATACCGTTTCTGACTCACCCCACGGTGGATTTCCCCATGTGTGATTTGGAAGATTACATTTCTCACCTCATTTCCTGTGCGTGCTCTTACCATCATGTGTGACAGGCGTCATGACTTACCCGTGCATGCACCTGCCACAAACCAGAGCATCACACAATCTTTCACCCGGTGTCCAACGCTCTGGTTTGAAATGGAATCCAACAAAAAAAACATTCAGATCTGACCATCAAAACGGAGCTGTTCAGAGGGCTTTTGCTCTCAGAGGGGATTTCTCTGCAGCTTTCCTTGCATGACAGCAAAGCCTGGATCTGTCTCTATATTTGATGTTTCTGGTACGACATATCCCACAATACAATGGTTTGATTCATGTTTTTACCATTTTTCCTTGACACATTGAATCACTGCTTTTGCTTTTCTCCTTCTCTTGTTTTTAAATGGTAATGTTTTACCAAATATGGTGTGTCAATACATTTATGACTCGGGAACATAAAAATGGGCCAAAAGGGAAGAAGGAAAATGTTATAATATTACTAGTGTTGAACTGAAGGATTGCCTTTTCACTATTGTTAATGTACTGTGATTTATTTTAATGCCTTGTATAAATGTTTCTATCTTGCTTTGTTAAATATAGGAGGATTTTCTTCTTGTGGGTGGATAATCTAAACTGTAGGTTCATTCCAAATTGACATAAGGTACGTGCTCGTTCCTCAGCAGCATGGATCAAGGAGCAGAGAGAAACGACAGAGCGGCCATGTTGAAAGGTAAAAAGTTTAAAATACATTTTCATTAGGACATAACATTTTATTGTAATAACATTTGAGGCTGGAAATATCACCCTCTATTTTCATATCAGAGGTTTTTTGGAATTAAGATAAAACATTCGGGCGCTTTAGGGTAACAGCGGGGGTCGGCGGTAATTATGAAAACCCAACGAGAAGGCTTTTGTAACAGACTTTCTCTGCAATAATAATTTCATCTACAGTAATCGGATTTCAGGTCATTCATTTATTAGTATTTTTTTGAAGTTTTGAAAAGCAAACAGACTGTTCATGTCAGAATAGAGTTAAATGGCTTAGATGTATTCTAGGTAGTGCCTGAGTTACCACGGGCCTCTTTACTGCATCTCTGGTCAGTGCGGTCTTTGTTCAGCCTTTTGAGCAGACGGCTGTTTCTGGTTGTCCCATACTATTTTAATTCCCCCGGTGATGATTAGACAGTGCTATATGAGATGGTCACAGTTCTTTAAACCTTCATCCCTCACTTCGCAGGCCAATATTCTCTTAACAAACACCTGAGGCCTTCATAGAACAGCTGTAATTACACTGAGATTAGATCACAATCTGACGGACACTTCGGTCAAGATTTCACTTAGACCTGGAGGGGCCTGGATTTTTAAACTTCTATTTGTATTGTGAGAACTGGCCGTCACAAAAAGGGATCAGACCTGAAAAAACTGAAATAACCAAAATACAGGCCCACGGACATTTTTTATTAAGATCTCCTTTAAAAGTGTCATTTTTTGACAATATCATCATTTAAAGGCATTGTACTTCCCCCGTTCCTTTGAGAAGGCTGAGACGGGAAACAAATCAAGGTTTGTTTAGGTTATTAGAATGCTTAAAGTGAAATAAATGAATACCTTGTAAACCATATGAAAGATATTGAACTATTTCTCTTCAAAATTTCATCTTTTTTGCAACACTTTTACTGTCTCCTTCAGCCGAGGCTCTTGAAAAACAAAAGGAAAAGGCTCTCGACTGTGAAACCTTGATGAATCGGGGTTAAACCTCTTGACGCGCTGTGAAGAGGTTGAGGTGTGAGGAAAGGCCTTGTTCTACAGCTCCTGTAACAGCTGGGGTTTCATATTCGCAGCTTATGAAGAGGTATAGATCAGGTGTTTGTGTGAGTCATGCTGAGAAGAATATATTAGCAACGTTGTATTTAAGCGGCATAGTGAGCTTATTGCTATGAACTGTGAATAGAGGTCTAAAAGTAGGGGTTGTAACTGCAGCAAAGGTGTCATTATATGGGTGTTCTAATTAATACTGCTATCACGTCATCATGAATGTGATGATGTGAGGCAAGTATAGACAGCTGATTTCTAAT